TTACCCATATGATCCTCCTCAGCTTTTCAGGATTTTGCCACATCTTGCTCAAGAAAGAACCTTACCTAGCTAGGTTGACCTCCCTTATGGTGAATGTCACTCTTGAGGTGGGGTAAAGCCTTGTCTACATGCTATAAAATGTACCTAGTCTTGAGTTCAAGATCTCCAGGAGTGACAAAAGCAGTCTCCAGTGATTCTTGTTACTGCAGTTAATATTGTTGCTTTTCTAGGAACCTGTGGAAATGGTGGGCACAGTATCTGGAGAGCCAGTCAGAGATGGAGTCTGCGCTAAAATACTATGCACTGGCTCAGGATTATTTTTCCCTAGTCCGTGTCCACTGCTTTCAGGGCAACATTCAGAAGGTGAGGCATAGAATCACAGAATCCCAGACTGGTTTGGGTTGGAAGGGACCTTAAAGCTCATCCAGTTCCAACTCCCACCACGGGCAGGGACACCTTCCACTAGACCAGGTTGCCCTGTCCAACCTGGCCTGCTCCCATCTGCTTCTGGAGAGTGCTCATTCCTGGGGAGACTATGAGCACAAATTAATGCTATTACAATTTCCTTTTCAGGCTGCTGAAATAGCAAATGAAACGAGGAATTGGGCAGCCTCGTATCACCTGGCCCGCCAGTATGAGAGCCAGGATGAAATCAAGCAGGCTGTACATTTCTACACCAGGGCCCAGGCATTCAACAATGCTATCCGCTTGTGTAAGGTGTGTAATGACGTACATTTCTATCCCAAAGCAAAGTAGGATTCTACCCTTAGGCAGCAGAATTAAAGCAGTACTAGTTGTTTGTTCCCATTTCCTCTTGTGAGACTGCTTGCTCACACACAGCCCACAACAAAGATGCTCCTAGTTTCTGCCTGCTTGGTTGCATGGGATACTGTTTTCTTTTATATGTTAACAGAAAACTGCCTGAAACAAATTATCATTGCAGCCCAAAGTTACTTGGGTTGGTATGGGTTTTACACAAAAGAGGGTTGATGGGCTTTTATGTGACAGCATAAAGCTGCAGGCTTGCCAGAAGACAGAATTAATGAAATGTTTGTAGCATTCCTAGAGCCAAATTTTTGCTTTTGAATAGGAGCACAATTTAGATGACCAGCTGATGAACCTGGCTCTTCTGAGCTCTCCGGAAGACATGATAGAGGCAGCCTGCTATTATGAGGAAAAGAGAGAGCAAATGGACCGAGCTGTCATGTTATACCACAAGGTAAATACCTTTTTAGTAAAAAATATCAAACTTTAAACTGAAGTAGTTCCTGCAGCAGAAGAATCAACTGTATCACAGAATCCCAGACTGTTTTGGGTCAGAAGGGACCTTAAACTCATTCAGTTCCAACCCTCCTGCCAAGGGCTGGGGCACCTTGCAGTAGACAAGGTTGTTCCAAGCCCTGTCCTACCTGGCCTTGAACACTAGTTTTTACTATATATACTGTTTATTAGTCATTTATGCTTTATTAATCCATTCTAGAGTATCCTGTAACCTGATCCGCCGTGCTTATTCTAGTCTCTAAAGCATTCAAGTATTCTTAACTTTGCAGGCAGGACATTTCTCCAAAGCACTGGAGCTAGCCTTTGCCACACAGCAGTTTGGGGCCCTACAGCTGATTGCTGAAGACCTGGATGAGAGGTCAGACCCAACCCTGCTGGCTCGCTGCTCCGATTTCTTCATTGAACACGCACAGTATGAGAAGGCAATGGAGCTGCTGCTCACAGCCAAAAAGGTAAGCTCCAGCCTCACTGGGCCCTCCCTGCATGGGGAAAGAGGAGCACAAGAAGTGCCTAAGTGCACACACATGCACTGATCTTTGCTGGTAAACAGACGTGGAGGCACGTATGAGGTTTGAAGCTTCTTCTCAGGCCAGAGTGATGGTAGCCCAATTGGCTCAACATTAGAAATGGGTTCCTAACTTTTGGTCTTATTTCTTGCTTAAAACCTGCAGATTTTGCAATCTTGGGAAAAGAACAACTCCTATTCTCAAAACTAACATATTTGTAGACAAGGAAATTAGAACATCATCAAAAAACCCATAATGTCCCTCTTGTGTTAGTTAAGGTGCTTCATTCCTCTCCTAAATTTTTACACATTCTACTGTGCTGAAGCTCAGCCTTACCAGAGCAGTCCCGCACCTACTCCTCTTCAGTGAGCTCCAGTCTTACTTTCTTCTACATTTTACATGGGTAGGGTAGCCTTTTTCTGGTCTAAAAGCTATTATTTGTCCCCCTCAGAATTTGTTCCTATATGGGAAGTAGCAAATATTTAACAAAAACTTTCAAATGCCTATATTTATTTTATTTGTATCTGCTGAAAACCTTCATACGATCAATCATGCCTAAGACATTTGTGTGACTTGTGTGCCTCTGAGAATGTCCTGTTCAAAGAGATGAAATGGATGAATCTTTAGTGTCCACACTAGTGTCCTCTGAGAAAACAGGTAAGAATCAGTGGTCTTCATGGAAGAACAAATGTGTTCTTAGCAAACAAAATGAGATGGGGTGTGCTTGAACTGGTGTGGATGCTGGGATGCTTGACTGCACAAGTGTTCTCATAGAGCATTCACAGCTGCTAGTGTTTGTGCCTTCATATAGCTAATTTTACAAGCAGTATGAAGTATCAGCATAGTGTCTGCAATATCCCATTGCTTTCTCACTCCCATTAGTACCATGAAGCTCTGCAACTCTGCCTGAAGCAGAACCTGACCATTACAGAGGAGATGGCTGAGAAGATGACTGTCTCTAAGGACTCCAAGGACCTCTCTGAGGAGTCCCGGAGAGAGCTGCTGGAGCAGATTGCCAATTGCTGCATGAGACAAGGCAATTACCACCTGGCCACCAAGAAATACACACAAGCAGGAAACAAGTTAAAGGTCAGCCTGGATATTTAGGGAGAAAAGCTGAGGAGGCTGAGCCTGTTACCTTCCTAAGATTCCTCAAAACAAGGGTGTTTTGAGAAGTGTATCTTGGAACAGACTTCATACAGTAGAGAGGCTTCTAATCCATCTTCACATAGCTTGTGGGTTCACATTCACAATGATATTTCCCCCCCCCCCCCCCTCTTCCCCCATGTGCCCCTTTCCATTGCTAGGCTATGAGGGCACTGCTGAAATCTGGAGATACTGAGAAAATTGTCTTCTTTGCGGGAGTTTCCAAACAAAGAGAGATTTATATCATGGCAGCCAACTATCTACAATCCCTGGATTGGCGTAAGGACCCAGAGATTATGAAGAACATCATCCGTTTCTACACCAAAGGGCGGGCCCTGGACCTCCTGGCAGGTTTCTATGATGCATGTGCTCAGGTACATCCCCTTCTGTGACTTGCTAAAGGTGCTTGGTTTATTATCTCTGGAGCAAAACATCTCATTTCTCCTCTGCAGGTAGAAATTGATGAGTATCAGAACTATGAGAAAGCACAAGGAGCCCTGACAGAAGCCTGTAAGTGCCTTTCAAAGGCAAAGACTAGAAGCCCTCCGGAACAGGAAAGCAAACTAGCACATCTGCAAAGCAAGCTGACCCTGATTAAGCGTTTCATCCATGCTCGGAGGTGAGCTGCAGGAGTCAGAGCATGTGAACTAATGACAGAAATATCAGACAAGAAGTTCTACAAATACCTGCAGTTTAATAGACAATTTGCAGACTCACCTCTAACAGCTGCTGTTACATTTTTCTAGCAAGGAAACCATTATGTGCTTTTTATAAGTGCTGTTGACATCAAAGATGAAAAGATAACCTGAAATATTAGCAAGTGTATTGACCCAAGAAAGTGTAGTCAGAAGGGCGATTATGAAACATGGCACAGTAAAAATAAACCTTCCCTGGTTTTCCCATACAGGCTGAATGCTCTCCCCTGTCTGATTGTTACCAGTTTCCTTTTGCTCTCTACTAGAGTTTACTGTGAGGATTCCAAAGAAGCAGTCCGACAGTGTGAACTTCTCCTAGCTGAACAAGATTATGACACTATCATCCGTCACGGTGACATTTTGGGATTTCTGGTTGAACATTATGCACAAGTGGAGGAATTCCATATGGTAAGTTAATTCTTCCAGTCTACAGAGCCTGTACTTTACACATACCAGTGCAGCTTGGTATCGCTTGGTTCTCCTAGAGGAAGACATTCCATAGTAGAGGCTCATTTAGAGGAACCAAACTGCTCAGCAAGGTGTGACAGACCACAGGAACTACATCCATATTAGCATGGTATTGGGTGACAAGTTCACTATGACTTGGCTCTGTGACAGGACTGGCTTTAATGCTGCTATTATGAAACACAGGGATGCCAAGCACAAGTTTCTCCAGCTGTGCTCATTAACCTTTTATTTACCACATTGTTTTGACACTGCTTCAGCTGTCAGGAGAATATAAAAACAGGCTTGGAGATCCCTTATTTGTTAAACTGAACAAGACAGAATTGACACAAGTCACTAGGAAAGGTTGCTGTGTCAGCCAAGGCTGCAGGCTCCTGGCCTCACGCTAGTATTCCTTGACACTGAGCTCCTCTCAAGGCCTCAGCTGTGTGTCATGGGGGGCTGCTGGAACTCACGTAGCACAACAGCCCTGTAACAAGCTCTGTGCATTGCTTTAGGCTTACCAGTACCTGGTGGAGATGCAGAAAAGAATTCCAGTCACTAACCTGAGCTACTATGTGACGCAGCAGACCCTTGAGGCAGTCCACCGAGGAACAGGCATTCCTGTCAGCCAAACCCCGGTTCCACAGCCTGTTCTCCACAGCAGTATGGAGAACAAGGAGATGGGACAAGAAGTGGCTGATGATGTAGAGGAACCTTGACAATTTACACTTACCAAAGGCAAAGCAGACTCTAATACCAGGTCATTTATTCTGTCTGTGTTAGGACCGTATGTCACGATGGCTGCGAGGAGGCTTTTTGATTATTAACAAGAAATTTATTTTTCCTATTCAACTGTATATGCAACAGTATTGAAGTTACTCTCTTATCTCAAACACTACATACAAATATTTATGTCAATATCCTGTTATGAAGCTGGTTTTAGTATTTTAATGAATTTGAGGGGGAAATAAACCCAACAAGGACTGTATATTGTAACTTCAGGTCTTTTTCCAAGTACAGAAAAGAGCTGAGTAACTGAGGTGAAAGCTCCTGAGGTGACAAAAGTTTTCAAGTCCAGCTTTGATCTGCTGAGGTGCAAACTGACTGGTCATTCCCTGGAAGTCACAACTTCTGAAAACAATCCCTATCTTGCTTGGGTAGGAGCTTGGCTAAAAGTCCAGTCAAACTCCAGCAGAATGGAGGAGCCTTCCTCCAAAGCAAAGTTTTTGTGTTTAAATATATTACAGGGTCACACAGGCTAGAGCCACTTACAGAAATCTGACTGAACCTTAGACTCACAGAATGGTTTGGGTGGAAGGGACCCCTTGAGGTCACATCTGCTCTAATCCCATGGCTCAAGCTGTTTCACTTTGAAGTTTCTTTTCCAAACATCAGTTATGTCAAGCTGCACTGTACTAATCAGGCTTTAGGCTGCAAATTTCTTCCCAGGCATGGGAAGAAGCTGGGCTTCACATGAGAAGTGAACCCCAGCGTAAGCAACCAAGACTTTGCTCACCTTTAAGCCTGTCATCCTGCCCATGAAGGTCTCTCTCATACATTTCATACTACCTGCCAGCCCTTCTGCTGAGAAGGGATTTTCTTTTTCCTGTTTTGTGACTTGCTTCAAAACTTGGGGTGAATGTGAAGTTTCTGAACTGTATGCTTTCAGGAAAGAAGGGGAGGGACAGATTTTAAGGTCAAAAATCTGAGTGTTAGCTGTCCTTTAATAGAAACTTATTTCTGTACTAAGATGATACAAAAAGAATTCCTGCTATGTTCTCCCCTAACCACTGTGCAGCTTTAGCTCAAGCCTTTAAGGCTTGGCACATGTTCAGAACTTCAGCTGTCCAGTTTGCATCTCACCAGCAGTGGCATTCTGTATACCCCTCCAACAGCAGACCAGGAACTACTGGACCAAATGCTAACAGCTGGAAGACATGGGAGCCTTAGCCCTGGAGGTGCGTGGCCCCCTCCACCCTCTCTTTTTCTGACAAGAAGCCTGCTATGAGATCTTCCCTGTATTTTTAGAAGAGCACTCAAACCTGCCAAGGTTATAAATAACAGGGGTGGGGGTGGGTGGAGGATGGCAGCACTTGCCTACCTTCCTGCATCTGTACACGCTGTACCGGATAGCAGTAGCTCACTAAGTTGGCCTCCACTACAAAGTCCAGATGTCAAGTCAGGTTTGCTAGTTCACAGCTCTGCACCCTTCCCCTTTCTTCCCCTCCTCCAGCCAGATGACTGCTGGAGGCCCAGGCAGCGCCTACACACATCCAGCTGGCAGGAGCACAAGAAAAAGGTCATTTCTTTTATCCTCCAGCTAGGAAGGGGCAGTTTGGAGTTTCTTTTTCAGGTTCTCCATGAACAGCAAGTTCTGCAAAGCCAGTCTCCTGCAGTCCCCATCAGGATCTTTCTCCACCACATCTGTAAAAGAAGCAGCCACCATGAGCTGGAAAATGGGAAAAACTGTCCTTTACCTGACACTTCGTCACCTAATCTCACTTAGCAGTATTGCTCTTTCACTGACCACTCCAGAACAGCACAAGACACACCAGCATATGCAGCAACACCCGGGTTGGACATCGACATTTGCAAGAATTACGTTAGACCAAAAATGCTCAACCTTGATCACATTCAGCAGTATGAGTTTAGCTAAACTCTGTCACATGTGACAATGCTCAGTTCATTCTTGTGGCAGAAATAAACAGTTGGGTTGACTGCCTGACCCTGCATTCCATGGTATAACCTTCTTGCCCAATTCGACTTGTGCCCTTGAGCTATACATCACCTGTCCACAGCTGATCTTCTAGCATGAATGCTATTTGTAACTAGAATCCACTTATTCAAAAGCCTGAAGTCTCCATTCTGCCAGTTCCTGTGATCTAGACACATGCTCAGTGCTCCCTCCTGAAACTTGTGCTGCCCTTCAAATGGGGGAAAGAAAGAGGTAGGACCCAAGTTCAACACATTTTCCATACTGAGCAATTAGTCTTCTGATAATCCAGTAAGTTCTTTCCCACTTTATGCAGTGTTTAAGGGAGGGCATGAAGCTGCTTCCAGCAGCTGTTATTTCAGGGGCCCTTAATCGGCCTGCAAAGTAAAAACCAGGATGCACACAGGATGTCTGAACAGGGGGAGCCTGGAAGAGCAGAGAGCCTGTGTGAGGATATCCTGTACGCAAAAGCAGTGTGCTCAGAGCCCAGCTCATCAGTCCAAACACATGACTCATTCAGAGTGGGGCTATTTATCCTGCAGGGAGAGCTTTCACGATGGTGTTTCTGTGCTCTCTCTACAGAAGGCAGCAAGGGGGAGATTACAACATGAGCATAAGTTCAGAAGCTAAGATGTTGGCAGTGCTTCCAATTGCCATGAGCACAGACCTTGAACTGCTGCGACTAAAAGGGAGCCACAGGGCACCAGAGTATCATTCAGGTCCTCACATAAAACAAACTTATCTATGACACAGCTCTACAGCACTGGCAAGAGGTGGGGAACTCCCTCAAAGGCAGCTGCTGAGAAATTAAAGGAACTGTTTCCTAGAAATGTTTAGGTATTCCCTCCCTCCCCCGGGAAAGATCAGGCTACTACATTAGGTCCAGCATGGCACTAATGAAAGGCAGGACAAGGTGGACCCCAGCCTCTCTCTCCACCTGAAATGGCACAGAACATCCACTAATGGATAGTACTGTGACAGTGACTGAAGTAGTTCCTTCCACCACACTGGAAATGTTTTCTAATAGGGAACAGTTCTGTTGAAGGGCAGGAACAGTCAGTCACATTCACACGATGAACTACAGCAGTCTGCAGAGACATGACAGAGAAACAAACTGCAGCAGATTCATAGACTTGACTGAATGGTCACGGATAATATTTTCTAGCCCACTACTTCTCATTGTGCTTTTGCCACAGCAGGAGAAATGCAGATGCTTCAAGCTGACATCAAAAAATATGACTTCTGGCCATTAGGTATGGCAGTAGGCTTGCATGCTTGACAGCTTGTCATTTTTCCAAGCTATAACAGTAGGTCTAATACATGACACGGCTTGCACATCTTTTCTGGAAGAGTCATGAAGCAGCAGCAAGTGCACAAGCTCAAAGCAATGATCCAGTCATAAAGCAGATCTCTAGTGACCAATTTCACCAGCTGCAGCAGTGAGGAGGAGCCTGGTGCCTCCCAGCAGTCCTAAAATGACAAGTAAAGGGACAGCACAAGAAGCTTCTTGTTTCAGGAAGCAGCTTTGGCAGCCCTTTTAAACTGTACTGGCACTGTATGTGACCAGATGTGGAGCTGGGTAGTACTTTTTAAGGTTTCTGAATGGATCCTGTAACAATTTTCCCTTCTCTACCACACACACAACTGTGATCTTTACGTGACCCACCAGGATCTACCATGCAATTTTCATGCCAAAGCACTACATGTAAAGAAATGGCTATTACACTACCTACAGGCACAAAAAGAAGCTGCTAGCATTGTCATCATCCTCCTTCCAAAAATAACTCATTAAAAACAGATTACACAGACCCTCATGCTGAAAATACATTTAACACATTCCTGGGAAGGCTGTACTTGGTAACAGCAGTGTTAACTGCAGAGACAAGCAGATTCGCCAGAACACACCATGTCATGGGAAAAGTAAAGTTTTCAGCCCCACAAGGCACAGCTCCTCCTTTCCGAGGTTAGAGTTCCACAGCCTGCAAGAATCCCAGCCCAGCTGTGTCAGCATTGCTTCCTGCCTGCTCCCTGTGGGAAGCCAACTCACTAAGAGTGAGAATGGTGAAGGAAACCAATCCAGGGAGTCACACAAGGTCCCCCCAGAATACAGGGAAGGCTTCAGAGCTACAAAGCACACAACATTATTTCCTCTTGTATTTCTGATACACTGTGATACCTGACCCCCAACTTGTGCGATTCCAGTCTACCAGAACCCACAAGCAGCCTGTGTGGATGGAGGGTGCGCTGGGCACAGCACAATCATCTGCTGTCTTTCATAGGCTGTTCTTTCCATCAGCAGTAGGAGATGGGGCCATGCTCCACTTCCTTGTATCTTAAGTAATAACGAAACCCATGTTCTGTGCACATGGTGTAAACGGGATGTACAAGCTTTGTATGTTATTACTAGTGTAATATGCAACATGACAATACTTTCTGCAGCTTCGTGAAGTGGATCACTGGATGCTTAGGCAGAGAAGGAGGACACATAATGTATTTGGGGACTTTTTTGACTGGCCTGTGAGGAGTCAACTTCGAAATGCATAGCTCTCAGCTTATACTTATATACTTTGGTAATACAGTGTGAGACCACTGAAACCTAAACTAGCAAGCAATAAATACATGTACTGTGCAAATCTCTGGTGTATGACACTAGGACATGCCTGCTGCCATCACAATCAGAGATGCTGCACAAAGACTGCACCATGAACCAGAAAAAACACTGGTGTACACTACTGTCTCTTACCTCCCAGCCAAGACCGAGTCTCCAAAAGCTCTTCTGTCATGTCTTCCAGAAGACACTCTGCAGGGACACTGAAGAGCAAGGAGGCGATACAGGACAAAAGGCCCTGGCGCACGTACCTGTTGGAGAAAGGCTGTTTGGAGCCTGCAGCTTTGTGCTCTACCTTGATTTCCTCACCTCAAGGGTTCTCCAGTTTCAAATATTTGTGATTAGGATGAGTTTTGCCATATTCCTACTGATCAGAAGTGGAATTACGCAACAGCTGGCACAGTGCTCACATCCAGAGCCCCTGCCATGGGGTAGGGCAGGAAGTCTAGTGTAGTTCAGAGTCCTGGGCAAGTCTGAGACCAAACCAGAAACTGGATGTTTACAGCATTTTCGCTATATGTCTTAATTTCTTCCCAGCATTGCATACTGGAATTGAATTGAAACTTCCATGAGCTCCCCAGATAAAGAGATGAAACTATCCCATGGATAGTTAATCAAGAAATTTGTTGTGTTTTCCATAGTTAATGACTGTACCTCCACACTAGGAGAGAGTAGCCAGGTTCATACGTTGGCCTGACATTAAAGCAATGCCTTCATTTCATAGTCTTGCAATACTTAGGATGGAAGAGAGCATACAGTTAATGTATTAAGTCACTGACATTCTTACTCTGATGCTACCCTTGGACAAAGAGAAACCATGGCTGGAGACTGGCTGGCAGCTGATCTTTAAAAAATAAAGCACACAACCAGAACTCACGAGTCAGTGTGGAAGCGCAGAGCCCAAACAAACTCCAGCAGTGCCTTTCCCATTGCAGCAACTGCCTGCAAAACAGGATGATGACAGAAACACTGAACACCTTCACATTGACACCGCCCTACAGAACTGCACCTTGAGATGCTCTGCTGTGAACATCAGGGTTATGATTAACATTATTTTACAGATGAGGAAACTTAGGTAGCAAAATGATGAGCCCAACCTCCCACCCAATTTGATAGTTTTTCTACCAGGGTCAGCACAGGATTGTGCAGGGCTCCCTTGCCTCTTCTCTGACCATTTTTTTCCCAGCTCTTTTCTCAACTCTCAGCACACGTGACTCAAACTTGCTGCCAGTCTCAGCATGACAGGCCCAGGGTTCCTAGGCTGGAAGCCTCCCCTGCTCTCTGCAAGCTCACACAGCCTTTCTTACCACAGTGTTGACAGCCAAATACATCAAGACTGCTAAAGTGTGGACCAGTCTTGCAAGAACAAAGTGATCTTCCCCCAGGAGATCAAATGTTGTCAGAGGCCTGCAAATGCAAGACACACAGTCCTGTAGCAGTGAGAAGGCTGATCAGTGCATCTTTGGAGCAGTCACAGTGGTTATGCAGGGCAAACTCCCCCACAAGTCTGAATCCCTATGACATAGTCATTAAAGTTAATCCCAGTTTAACACAAGCCACAGCTGTTTGCTCTCATCATTGCTCCCAGACCAATGATACTCTCTACTCCTACAGCAGGTATCATTTATTCTAACAGACTTTACTACTGAAAGCATTACTGCCATACTAGAGATAAAGCATTAAGACTGGTATGCCAAGAATCTTGATTCTCATGGAATCAATTATTCAGCCATCTTTAGGTAAGCAAAGACCTAAGTGATTAACAATGAACCACATCCTATAATGTGGTCTCAAGGACCAGTCCAGGTGACAGGCCCAAAGCTGAAACAGAGTTAGATTTGGCTAAGACTGCAATCTCCCCAAGAAGGAGGGTCAGCCAAGACAACGGGTTTAGTATTGCCAAAATCATCATCCTCTGTACCTGCTGACAGGTTATTCTTCATAATAGACCTTCTCTTCTGCAGGATCTCACATACTCTTACCCAACAAGACTTCATAGGCTAAGTCCGAGAGACCACAAACCCCTCCTCTCTAAGCTTTATGCATGAGCCAGGCATCAGTGTGGTGTCACTGGACTTCCACACAGCTTCTGGGTTTTAGGCTGCTTCTCTGAGGCAAGTTCACTCAGACACTGCCATGCCCATGACCCAGTATGCTCACACTCACCTGTCAAAGTGCTGAATCAATGGAAAAAAGAAGTGTCCAGCAACAGAATTGAACTCATTTGGGCTGGAAGCCAGTTCCACTTGAGACTGACCCTGTCCAAGAGAAAAATGAAGTCTAGACACAAGATGCAGCATCTGACACTTCACACCACTGTTGAAACTACAGGTTCCTTGCAGCCATCCTGCTGTCAGTCACTGCCTGTTCGTACTTCTACAGCTACTAGTTTCCAGATTGGATGGATCACTTCCCACCTTGAGATCCTTTCACACATCTAAGTATTTCAGTACAATATAACTCAGTATTGCTGGGTTAGAGACAAGAAACAAGAACATGCAAAGGATAATGGAGTTTTTTGGCAAGCAGGTTTTCCAGGAAGAACCACAGGGGAGTTCTGGGAACTAGGAAACTGGAATCCATTTATCTTACTAAAAATAGGAAGGCTAAGACAGCCCAGGTCCAGAGGCAGCTAGGCTGATGGAGGAGACTCTGATATCTGTAAGGTGCAGCCACAGCTCCCTGCAGTGGCCAGACAAGCTCAGAACAACCATGGAACAGCAGCAACTATCCCTCAATACAAGGCAAGCAGTTCAAGGTTTATTTTCCTCTCCCTGCTGAAGGAGTTGGTATTTTGCACTGGTTCAGCCAGATACCAAGATCATTTTGTATTTGAAATTACACAGTATTTTCTTTGGACCAATCTCACAGGTATTGTGCTCTTTCCAGATAAAACTACAGCAGCTCCCAGCATCCCTGTTTCTGCTGGATTTCACATTGGTTTTTGTGTGCCCTGGCCTCACCGTAGCAAATCTCCGAGTCTTGTTTTTGATTCTCTCATCAACAATTCTTCTCCAGTCCTTAGAGCTGTCACTTTCAGGAAGGAGCTGGATACAAGGTTTTGGGGCACCAGAATGCTTGGTCTTCCAATGGGATTTGGGATGGGACAGCTCCTGAGCTGACAAAACCAATACCTAGATGAAAAAGATGGAGGTTCTGTTAAAAAAGGGTGTACTAGAGAACAGTAACAGTTACTTGCACCCAAACTGCTAGGAATAGCAAGGCAGAAAGCACAGCAGGTTTTGAATGCAGAATAGCAAGGTGAGTGACCCCAGATAGCCAGCTGGCTTCAAGGTACTGATCAAGCACTCAGACCCTTAGCCCTGAAACAGAACAGGGGCTCCTTCTTCAGACACAGCAAGTAAAATGATGCAGGAATCCAGGCATATTGCTGTCTTTCAGAAAGTGAAGTTTGACAGACCAAGGACATGTTAGGAAACAGTGGCTTCTCCTGGGCAAACAACCATCCCATGTTTTTCATTGTGTGAGGAAGAATCACTGTATTACGGTAGTGTAGCAGTGTTACAAATGAGAGGGGAATGCCAGGCACAAATAAGAGATTTCCATGGCTCTGCCTCCTCTTCCAAGGAATAAAAGATAACCCCATTACCTCTCAGGAAAACAGCACTGGTGCAACAAAGACACAAGTGAAGTGGGAAGTGAAAAGAAGAGCACTTACATCAAGAATGTCCATGCGCTGATTAAGACTGTAGTTCAGAGAATAGAATTGGGATGTCAAGTACTTTGCTACCTGTAGAGAAAAATCACAGCACAATGAGCAAAAATCCAGTCTGGAAACAGCCTTCCCACTAATTCTAAACGCACTCCATTGCAGGAGAAGTCTTGCTTCCTGTTAGTCAACAGCAAGCCTCCAAGAAAAATGAAGAGATATGCTGTGCAAACAGAGGAAATTTAGACACTTCTACTTCTAGATTCTCCCAAAGGAAGTAAATGACAAATGGGACTTTGCCATCCTTCTCTCCTTCCTAGGCAGAGGTACCTAATAAATGCCACAGCAGCTTTGGCACTTCGAAGGAGACCTTTCTGCAGCCTTTTAATGCTTAAAGGGGCTTCTATGAAAGATGTAGACAGACTTATCAGGGCCTGTACTGACAGAACAAGGGGTAATGGTTTTAAACTGACAGATCTAGCTTAGACATAAGTCTTTTTTTAGAGAAGCCATTTGCGCCTTAGCTTTCCTCTATGCAAAACAATCTCTCCTTCAGTGCAATACGTCCTTATTTAATTTGCTTTGTCAGATATACTAACAGCCTCCAAACAGTTCCTCCAGTCTGTTATAGCTCTGACAGAATTTCCTCATTACTGCTGTTTCAGTCATCCATTGCAGATTCTTCATTGCATTGACCATAAATGCTGCTAGACAGAGATTAGTATTCTACCACACCCTGGTAGCTGCTTCTATCAAGCTAGCAAGAGACTTCAGCTCCTTAAATTTTTAGCTGTGCCTCAACTGGAAAAATGAAAGCAGTTAAGAGGAACTCACAGGTATTGGATCTGTGGTTAAAACAGCTACTTGAGCTCTCTGTCGGAGCTCCACAAAGCCTTCAATACAGGTTTTCTCCTGCAGATGCAGCAGTATCTTTGCCAGCTCCACGCTAACCTGTTAAAAACATGCAAAAAGAAATCAAAACACTGCAGGTGTTTGGTTTTCTCACAGGATTTACACACTATTCCTAATGTTTAAGCAAAGATAGTGAGTGTATGGAATAGAGGCAACATGTCAATTACTTAGGAGGGAGAGAAAACACACTAAAATAAATGCCATCAAGTTTTCTCAAAACACTGAACAAAACCCTAAGCCAACTTCTGTGTCCATGTTCATTTTGGCTTTATGGACAAGTGGTGGCATCATTATATAGGAGGACTTGTCACTGTAACTGATGGGTTAAAGGGTACATCTGAAGCCCATACAGCTCAATAGCAAGTCTGATAAGCAGCAGCTGACTGTGTGCTGTTTACCAGACTACACCAATTCCTCTTCTCAGGTGGCAGAGATGGTTTCTTAGCTGCCTTCAAGTGCTCACAAGTGGTGGTGAGCACACATCACACTGGTGACCTTGTCCCAGGTTCCTCTCACCTCAGCTTTTCATCTTCACCAGTAGAATCCAACTGCTCCCTCCAGAAGATATTATGCTTGTAAAAGCAAATAGGAGAAGTCCGTTTGATTTTATCTCCCTTTTGTTGGGGAGTAACAAATGCAATTTCCATTCAAAATCAATTCAATCCAAAATTAAAATCAATTGGTTTGAGGAATTTGTGGCTGCTCTGTGCTGCATTTCTCATGGATTTTTCTGCACAGCACAAAGCATGGAGCTTCCTCTGCTTCTTCACATTGCTGGCAAGCTTTACCTGCAATGCATTTCATTTGCAGCACTGGAGCTGCTAAATGCCACACTGTTGCTTGAACCTCTGCCTGCTGCTTTGTCCCTTTGTGCTCTGTAGCCTCACCTCCAAAGAGGCTATTTCCTTCTATTTCCTTTCCCAATTTGAAAGCTTTAAATCCAGGTACACATTAGCCTGGCCTCCTGCTCTGTTGCATATTTAGTCTCATGAGGACAAAGGGATAATCCTGTACTGCAGCCCACTGGGAATTCAGCTCATACTACTTCACCTCTCTTGTTGCCTCTGGATTCTTTCGAACCAAGCTCTCAAGAGCCTTGATTGCAGCTTCCCATTTGTCCATATCTTCACATCCTGTCAAGACTGAAGGTAAAAGACAAACAAAAGCTATTAACAGAATGGCTGTGATTGGGTATATACCCCCAGCTTTCTTCTGCCATTAGCGTGTCATTACAGGCAGAGATCACTGACCCAGTGCACAACCAGCATTAGGAACTTACGTGAAATTACTCACAATTAGTTGAGCCCAGATTACTGAAATCCTACAGCTTCTTCAAATTAGCTCAGAAAAAAAAAAGCCTACACAGGGATCGCTCTGCTACAACCAGTGAAAAGCAGATAAAGACTCAGCCCAAAATCTTTTACCTTCAATACAGTCTCGGATATACATAGGAGCCTTAATCTTTACTTCTTTATCCTCTGACATGTCATAAGGGATGAGGTCATCATCACTATATGAGAAATGAAGGCAGGAGTTAGTCTATGGGGTACAGATATTCTTCCTTTGTCCAGCTAGCCACAGAAAAGGGAAGGAACCAGCACATACATTGTCGTAACACTGTCACCGCTTGCATCATCCTGCAGCACTGCTGAAACCTAGCCTGAAAGGGTTCCTTAGGCAGTCCTATGAGTTACACCAAAGCTCAGTGAAAGAGCAGTTCTGTGACCAGATCTGGAACTGAATCTCCTGGTAAACTGCAGGCACAAGGCAGGTGACCAAAAGACCAGAAGTTGATTCTTGAGATTTCTTCATATATTGGTAAAGTGAAAGAATAAGGCACGACCACTATTAGAATGGGTAAATATGTCCATAATTCCAGAAAATGTAGTAGATATACCTGACCAATTTGGTGGCCTTTTATGATGGGGCTATGAAACTGATGGACAGAGGTACAGCAGTTGAAGTCATCTACCTGGACTTGTGCAAAGCATTTGACACTGTCCCGCATGACATCCTTGTCTCTAAATTGGAGAGACATCAATTTGATAGATGGACCACTCGGTGGATAAAGAACTGGCTGGATGGCCGCACACAAAGAGTTGTGGTCAGTGGCTCAATGTCCACCTGGAGACCAGTAACGAGTGGTGTCCCTCAGGGATCGGTGTTGGGACCGGTCTTGTTCAACATCTTTGTCAGTGACATGGACAGTGGGATTGAGTGCGCCCTCAGCAAGTTTGCTGATGGCACCAAGCTGTGTGGTTCGGTTGATAGGCTGGAGGGAAGGAATGCCATCCAGAGGGACCCTGACACACTTGTGAGGTGGGCTGATGCCAGCCTCATGAAGTTTAACCATGCCAAGTGCAAGGTCCTACAGCTGGGTTGGAGCAATCCCAGGCACAGCTACAGGTTGGAAGAAGAAGTGATTCAGAACAGCCCTGCAGAGAAGGACTTGGGGGTATTGGTTGATGAGAAAATGAACATGAGCAGGCAGTGTGTGCTCACAGCCCAGAAAGCAAACCGTATCCTGGGCTGCATCAGAAGAAGCGTGACCAGCAGGTTGAAGGAGGTGATCCTGCCCCTCTACTCTGCTCTCGTGAGACCTCACCTGGAGTATTGTGTGCAGTTCTGGCGTCCTCAACATAAAAAGGACATGGAACTGTTGGAACAAGTCCAGAGGAGGGCCACAAGGATGATCAGGGGGCTGGAGTGCCTCCCTTAGGAAGACAGGCTGAGAAAGTTTGGGCTGTTCAGCCTGGAGAAGAGAAGGCTGCGTGGAGACCTCATAGCAGCTTTCCAGTATCTGAAGGAGGCTATAGGGATGCTGAGGAGGGACTCTTTATTAGGGACCATAGCAACAGGACAAGGGGTAACGGGTTCAAACTTAAACAGGGGAAGTTTAGACTGGCTATAAGGAAGAAATTCTTTACTGTAAGGATGGTGAGGCACTGGAATGGGTTGCCCAGGGAAGTTGTGAATGCTCCATCCCTGGCAGTGTTCAAGACCAGGTTGGACAAAGCCTTGGGTGAGATGGTTTAGTGTGAGTTGTCCCTACCCATGGCAGGGGGGTTGGAACTAGATGATCTTAAGGTCCTTTCCAACCCTAACGATTCTATGATTCTATGAAATCAATAGAATGGTTGTACATAAGTGGGCTATGCGAAAAGTATTGACTTGTGTGTAATTTCCTACACAAAGTCCTGCTGCGCTGCATGCCACAAGGTCAGCACAAGATTTCCCAAGAGATGCAACTACCAATAGCTCCCTTCTCCCCATGTCTGCTCTTGTTTTCCATTTCCTAGCAGTTTCTTGCCCCATACCTGTCAATCTCAGTGTCCAGCTCCTCATCCGGCATCACAGGGGCTGCTGTATGTGATTTGTCATTACTTTCCAATACCACTGGTAGTGCAGTGTCTGCTTTCTCATTCCTGCTGTGAGGAACAAGAAATATTAAAACCAATACAGCAACAGTCCTTACGAGCAAGAAACTACCCACACCATTAACCCTTGCTGCCTGAAGAGAATGGCAAATAATTACTTCTGCTGCAGTCTCCCACCTAGCTTGGCTAACACAAGGAGCAAAGTCCTGGGAAGGAGAATTGGGTGAGGGAGAAGAAAAGCAGAATATCTTAAGAGAAGAGCAATAGGTAACAAAAATTTGCTGTGCTCCCCTGCAGTAACCTGGCGTGCCCCATATTTAAAGCTGTGAATGAAACTGAACAAATGGGGAATAAACATATTTAGTAGAGTGAATACAATAGGTAAGAACAGAAAGGCCCATCTGATTCTACCCAGGAGCACAAGGACCCCTGGAGCATGGTTTCACCACATTCAGCTATCCAACAAGCAATTTTAATACATATTACCATTCTGGTTATGAATTTAACATAACTGCTACACTGCATTGTAAGAATAAGGTGCATTATAATGCTTAAGAATATATATGACATCTTGCATACTCTATAAGTTCTAGCATGTGACACGGAGAGGACAAACAAATAGCAGGGAGATGAACAGTAACAATGTCTTACTCATCACGTGGAAGGCTGGGGACAGCACAGAATGGTGGAGTCTGCACCAGGAGGGACTTCAGCTCTCTTGCTTCATCATCTTCTTCATACTGGACAGTCAGAGCAACTGTTACTGAACTCTAATTGCAATATGCCCAGTATTCAACATTTCACCCTTCTGCTTCTTGCCAGTGAAGACTGAATCAAGAGCATATGAACCCAAATAAATCCCACTTGTTTCCATCACTCTGCTGCCAGCAGTAATGTATTTATGCGGTAAAGCAATCTGTGCCACATATAATCTTTGTCCCTATCTAACAGTGGCACCTGATCAGACCTTGCCTGAATACTATTACAGTTTTTAAAACACTTAATAAATAGCAATGTGACATCAGGGATGATGCAGAGTTTTAAAGAATTAATGTGATTTAATTACATAATTCTTATAAACTCTCCTGGAAACAGCAAAGTGTATTTCCCCTTGTCAGTCTTGAAAATCTCAAGTCAGAGGCTATTTGCTATAGAGTTGGTTTTTGTAAACAGATCTCCTCTCTTTTTCAGAGTGTTGCCGCCTCTCCTTATTTCTAAAGGGTAAGTGTTAGAACTTGCCAGAATGTCCTGAATCACCTAGCTTAAAGCTTTTATCTCCTCTACACCCTACACACCAGACATAAATTTCATTGTAACTTTCACCTGAAACTTCAGGACGGGCCCATCAGTGTTTATTTTTGCACTAATGCTCTCTGCCACAATCATGCCCAGACGCCGTATTTGTGGCAGGCTGCTGTCCAAGTGGCATTTCACACCCTCCATCATGCTTGTGAGAAGCTCTGAAAACAAAACCAACAAACTGTGCATGAAATGGTGACAGAGAAAAATCCACCTTTATACTTCCTGAGAGGGCATCCTTAGCTGCTCACCACCCAGTCATTGGAAGGAAGACAGTAAAGGCCCGTGCAACTGTGACTTCTCTTTCTGCAGTGGCTGTTTTGTTCTTCTGCCCCAATACAGTAAACCCATGCTTTTTCATGAAGTCAACAAAACATTACAATAGAGTCTAAATTTGGAGTATTTCAGTTTTCACTGAAACAAAAAAGGGTCATAAGTCAAGTCAATCTTTAGCTTTGTTTTGGAATGCTTCAAGGCCACTAAAGTCATGTTTTGAGGAAGCTACAAATTCTGACCAGTACAACAATCATGAATGAGAAATTTCCCACAGTGCCTAGGTAAGTTGAAACAGGCAAGTAACAGTGGTATTTCTCAGCCCACACAGAAAGATGGTTGCCAGCTTTACCAAGCAGGCTTACTGTGTTAGAAAGACATCCTTCAACTCAGAAAAGCTAACTTTTCAACAGCTGTGAGATAAAAAACTGATTATAAAACTACACTACTGTTAGTGGATAATAGGTCACTTATTCACCTAAAGAATTAAGTTTTAAATGAAGCAGATTAACAGGTCTTGTAAGTCAATCTGCTTCCCCCAAAAAGCCACACACAGAAGTAACTCTAAACACTGAACAGTTTGGTTTTTTTTTTATTGCAATAAAAACATAAATTTCAGAGCAGGACCCCAGTGTGCTGCACAGTGTACAATAAACTGGAGGTCCTTGGGCACATGGCTAGTCAGAGACCAACCAAACAGCTTTTTATCCCGACTTTCCCCTGTACCCTCATGCTCCAACACTAAGCATATAAACTGCAGATCATGCCGCTCCTCTAACTAGTCCCAGAGTTAATTCTCCTTTTCCTGCAACAAAACTGAAGGGTTCCTAAACCATATTTAGGTTTGATCTCAGGTCAGAGATGCTTCTGCAATCCCATAATTTCAAGCTATGCACTTGGTAATATATGGGTGCTAAAGAGGATTCCAGCAGGCTACCCTGTTTGCCAAAATGAAAATGGGACCATTTTGTTTATCCACACAGCAAAACAAGATGTTTTTCTACTCACAGACCTTCTGCTAAATAAATCTCATCCCCACTTTTCCCATTGCCTGACCTTGTCTGCAGCTCTCGATTTCAGTCTCCTTCAGGTGGGAGAGGCAGATAAGTATGGCCTTGCTGATATACTGCTGCTGCTCAGGTGGCGAGTGTCTCACAGCACTGCTGCTGCTCCATGTCTCCAATAGTTCTTGCAGCACCTAGAGCAAAGCACTCAAGCTGGTCTGAAATGGACCTTCTGTACATGTAAAAGTAATCTTCTTTTTGACACACATTTTGGTATGTACTTTCATAAAACACGCTGTATATTCTGATTGCCCTTTGGTCTTCATGTTTCCCGGTGAACCTTACGCTAACATTGTATTTCAGGGCCCAAAACATACTGTGTTTCACCAACTGAGACCTCCATGCCACCTTCATTTGATATATTATTAAATATATAGATTTTTAAAGTGGTAAATACACTTACTTTTCATAAATAAATAGTCTATATAAAGCAATACATATTATTGTCAAAAAACGATGTGATATGACAGGAATTTAGTCCAATCTTATACAATATCCCCTTAGAATTTTAGAACATGTAACCAGTGGAGAGAAAAAAAATAAAAATGGTAGATGTTTACAGAGACACAGATTTCCTAGAAGCTCCATCACACTGCTGACTTGGAAAGGGAAAATATCTGCATCCCCACTGAGGAAAAGGTACATGAGAGATTCTGAAGCATCAACCATTTGGCGCACAGACAGCTCTCAACCAACTTCATCACTTGCTGCCATCTGCCCAGCCATGCAAGCAGGGGATGACAGAGGAAGCTGAGAAAGATGGAGGACAGGGGACATCTACTAGAATCCAAGCCTCCTTAGGTTTGCTACCTGGCAGGGAATTTAGCAATTAATTATGAAAAACTAACGTTTCAGCAGTGCAGAAAGTCTTTGATTTGTAAATCACAATTTACTTGAGGCAGGGTTTCCCTCACACTCACAGACAGGAACAGAAGTGTCTCAGAGAAGTACCAAAACTGTGCACCCCCCCCCCCCCCGCCAGCAGAGCGTTTTGCCATCTGGTACCTCACCAACAATGTTACTACAGCTTACTTTGATCAACAAGGCACGCCGAAGGCTATCCACAGCCAGGTAGCCAAGGAGGTTCTGTAGCACTGCAGTCTGCAACAAAAACCACAGGACTTGCTTTAACTGGGCATAAAGTGACAACAAGGACACGTGTGCACTTCTACTACATTAAACTTTTCATTCTGAGGGACTGGTTTACAACATTCAGAAACAGGAAAGTGAGTAAATTAAAAAAAGAACCCAACCAACCAACCAAACCCACACACATGCAGTTGCTGACAAAATACATGGAAAAACAGGACAGAAACACAGAGCAGTATTTTTACCATCAAAACCACATCAGCACAGTCCCAAACAAACATGGGACACAAAATCTAGAGAACATCTCTCTCAACAATATCACAAACCACAGAATATGTCTTAACACCCTGTGCCAAAGTTAGGTGCACAGGAAAAAGCCAAACCAAACAGTCCTTGTCTTATCTCTTTAACCTATTTCTTATCCCTGAGGGTGGGTCATGGCTTCTTCAGTGTCTTCTTTCAGATTCTAAATTAACTAGGTCTCCCCAGAACACTGAAATTATGTGCAAATAACCACTTGGTTCCAGAAAGAGAGTACAGTAATTCTTCTCACCATCAACCCTGACAGTAAATGAATCCTGTGATTTCAAAGCAACTGCTTTGAACCTCTCCCTCTTCATTACCTTCAGCTGAGGGGATGTAAGTGAACACAGCTCAGGTATGTGTGGAGAGACTGATTTCAGAGCGAAGAGTTAAATTTTACCCATGAAGACCTGCAGCTCAGCTAAAAAACACACTGGCACGTGGGGAAAGAAAAGGCATTCCCACATTGCTGTTCAAGGCAGAGTTCTCACCGTGTGGCCATACTGCAAGAGCACCACCTTTTGTGTCACCACAAACTGAGCTTTCTTGTTCTTCACAACCAAGTTTCCCAGCAACCTAGACAGGACATCTGCCCTAGCAAATCAAGAGCAAAACATTAGGAATCCATGGAATTACTATCATGCTGCAACTCATCCTAGGAAATTCTGTGAGTAGCTATTTGCAACAGTCTCTAGAACACTGCTAAACTTCAAGAGTAAGTCAGCAATTGCAAGAAATGTTTGCACTTGGTTTTTCACTGTAAGTCACAACACAGATCTTTAAGGAATGGCGGGTGTTCTACATGAGAGGTGACAATCAACTACTTTATAACCCCGGTCTCTCAGGAACTGGGAGCCTGCACAAACACATCCCAGCATCTTTCAGACACTGATTCTGTGAGTATTCATGGAAAACTTCCAGCCTTTACTCCAGATCAGGGAGGAAAGCAGAGTTCTTACCCAGGTGTTTGCTGCACAAAACCAAGGACCACCGCCTCCATCCAGCGGTCTGGCACACATTCAACCAGTCGCCAGCAAATTCTTTGCCAGATGCAGTCTGACTTGGTGAGCTCCATCAGGCCGGGCACCAGAATGCCCAGGATTTCCTCTGAAGAAGAAACAGGTAAATACACCAGATGGCCAGAACAGAACTGGTGCAACAGTACTCAAGGTCAACATCCTTACAAGATGAAGAAATACAATGTACAGACTGTAGTTCTAAATCGCTCCTGTGGCAGAAACTAACATAAGCAGGCTAAGGAACTTTCAAGTATTCCTCATGACACTAAACAGCTAGAAAACCTTTCCTGTTCTTCCCCAGCCCTGTTCACTGCTTCTGCGTTCAGTGGCTTCAAAGTCCTAAGCAAAGCCAGACTGAAGGCTACTCCCATAGGAGTGATTTCTGCTGGTATTTACAAGGCACTTTCAGAGCACTGGGTGAAAAGCCCTAAAAGAGCATTTAATAGTTTTGCCCCAAATGGGAGGATGAGGCAGCTCATCACCTTATCAGTCTTTGAGAGGAGAACAGATCACATTGACAGGAGCTGACAGAAAAGCATCAACATCTATCAGATATGTAGCTGACTAGCCTCAGAAAGTAGAGAGCAGCCTGTACATCCGAACTCATGAAACTCCCAAAGGTCAGTCTCCCACTTCCTTTGCCAATCATCACTGCCATCCTTCTGCACTAATATGGTAAAACAGACCTTCCCCTCCCCAGAACAGGATAGTGAAACACTCACTTTGTCTTCCATGAGTGCATACCTTCCCCACGACATGCGAAACAAAAGAGATTGAGCAATCCAAGCCACCTGGGATAAAACAGACACAAGCTTAACAAGCACATTACCAGCACCCTTCAAACAACCTTAAGGAGGTTCTGAAAGTGCTGAAGACTGAAAACACAGTCTCTTCAAGCATCATCTCTTCCTCCACCACCTGCCTTCAGGCACAAACCACTGAGAGTCAGAGGACTAAAGTAGTTCAGTCCCTCTTTAACACAATGGTTAACAGCCACAGTGTCACAAATTTTCCATACGACTCCTTCAGCACAGACCAAATGACCACAGTTAAGCTCTGTCAACAAATCACAGAATCCCAGACTGGTTTGGGTTGGAAGGAACCGTAAAGCTCATCCAGTTCTAACCCTCTGCTGGGGATGGGACAGCCACAGCTTCTCTGGGCAATCTATGCCAGCACCTCACAACCTTTACAGTGAAGAGTTTCCTCCTAAGATCCCATCTCAATCTCCCCTCTGTCAGGTTAATGCCATTCCCCCTTGTCCTAATACATGACTTGTAGGATTGCAGCTTTCAGTGGGATTTTAAAAAACCTTGGCCATCTTCCTCATCCCTAGTACCTTATGCTTTTAAGCACAATGAACTTCAGCCTGAAGGATGAACCTGAAGCTCTGCAATACCTGTTAGCATCAGCCAACGGGGTCCATGCATAAAACACCTCTTCAAAAGTGCCATCTCCATAGCACAGTCCTCCTGCAATCTTACCTCTTAGAGAATCAGAGATCTTCTGCAGCACCTGGATAATTGTACCACCCAAGAGAGGGAAGTAGTTCTGGGGGAAGAACACTGGTGGGTTTTTCCCCTCCAGTTTATTGCTCACGTGGCTGGGCAAACACACAATCCTGTTGAGCAGGGCCTCTTGCGGCTCCTGGGAGCCAGCCTGGACTGGCTGCTGACAGACCTCCCACAGCAGAGCCAACATCCGTCCCTCCTGCAGGAACTGCTCCAGAACCTCCACCACCTCTCTCGGATGTAAGCTAGGGCTGGAAGAGAGTAACAGCAGTAAGCCCCTACCCCTCTTAACTGATAGAGACGTGCATACTCTTTGTGGTCTCACCACAACATTGCTGCTGTAACAGAATTTTAATCAAAATAATATTAAAATCAAATGGATTTTAATTTCTTTGATCTTCAACCTCCTCAGCCCCTAATGTCTCAGGACACCCGGCCAGCACTGCTAAACACAGGCTGGTGACCTCTGCGAGCAGCACCAGTACTGCATATGGTTTGAAACGAAGAAACCCGAGGGCACAGCAGGGCCTCCCACCTGCTGTCGCCTGCACATTTATGCCCTCGTTGTGCACAGGCGGGAGACACCCTCGCCCTTCCCTCCTGCGCTGCGGAGAACGAGCCCCGGGCAGCCCCCGAGGGACATCCGCCCGCACCGGACACTGACCGTGGGCAGCCGAGGGTCTCCAGCAGGACGCAGAACACGGGCACGGGCGGCCCTTCCAGGAAGCAGCGTTGCCACACGCCCTCGGGCCGCGCAGCGCGGGGCGCCCCGGCCAGGCTCCGCAAAAAGGCTCCAAAGAGTGCCCGCTCTCGCTTCCCGAGGGCTGCCGCGCCCCCCGCCGCCGCCAGCGCAGTCCGCACTGCTCCCAGCGCTGCCGCCGCCTCCTCCCCGACCCGCTCCGGCCCCGCCGCAGCCTCCCGTAGGGCCCGCTCCAGCCCCGCCGCAGCCATGACGCAGACGAGAGAGACGCCGCGGTCCCACTTCCGCCCGCCCTCTGCTACAGCCAATCAGCGGTGCCTGCCCGCGTAACGCCAGAAAAAGGTGCCGCCCGGTCTTTAAAGAGACAGGCACAGGCAGGAACGAGGCAGGCCAGATCTTCTCAGCCTACTGCTTTATTCAAGAGTCTTACACAAGTACAAACACAACACGGCCCAAAAGGCTACAAAGTTTTACAAAACAAACTAAAGTATCTGTATAGCACTGACTGTACAAAGGGCAGTGAATCCTCTGCACTTCCCGAGGGAAGCCCAGCTAAATCCAGCCAGCACCCCCCCACTCAGCAGCCTCCAGGGATTCACACCCAGTCAATTTGGGATGTGTAAAAGCAGAAGCACTGTTCCACCCGGGGCTGGGGGGAAGGTTTTACCAAAACCCGTTAAGAAAACGTGAAAGAAATCGATTTACAGGGGCAGCTACAAACCAGTTCTTAAGACTTCTGGCTTCTTTTCTAAACCATGACGTTTTGTGGGCTGGACTGTTGCTTCTGGTCTATGCGTTACAGAAGAGCTTCACCTGCAGAAGAGCTCGCTGGTAGAAACTAACCAGCTCTTTGGGAGCTGGGATAAAGCAACAGCTTGGTGTTTAAGTCTCAGCAAATCTGGGCTCCAGCTGCTCTGAGAAGTTCTGTGCTGGAACCCCAAGCTCAGGTTAAATGCCTTCCTGTCTTATCACACAGGGTTTCTGAAGTAGCTCAAGATTTACATGCTGGTCTGTAACAGCGTGCTAAGCATTTAAAAATCACCAAGCAGCAGCCTGCTAACTGGAGAAAGAGAGGCTGCACCAAATTCTGCTTTCATTTAGCAGAAAAAGATTTCGCAGCCTTTAGAAATCAAAGCCATTTTAAAATCATTTCGATTCAATGTCAGGAAACTTGAAGCCTACATCACAGGTGATACACTGGCCAGGGGCTGTTGCTCTCTCCTTTTAGGTTGGCTTCACTGCCAGGATTATCTCTCTCTCACACTCCTCCTCACCCAGACCCATTATATAAAAAAAAAAAAATTAAAAAAAAAAAAGTACAATATTTAGTCTGATGGGATTTAAGTTAAAAATTAAAAGTTGTCCAGTCCTTTTGCTTTATCGTGAGGAGTTTGAGCTGGAGCGGCTCCGATGGCGCCTTCGTCCAGGAGATCTAGATCTTGATCGTCGGCGAACAGGGGATCTGCGCCTTGGAGAACGGGACCTGGCAGAGAGGAAGGAGAAACCTTTAGCTACAAGACAAGAGCAACAGGTTCCAGCCATTTGGCAGTGCTCAAGGCCAGGTTGGACGAGGCCTTGGGTGATATGATTTAGCGTAAGGTGTCCCTGCCCACGGCAGGGGGGTTGGAACTAGATGATTTTAAGGTCCTTTCCAACCCTAACGATTCTATGATTTGTCAGCTTTTCAAACACACTCCCTCCAACCCCACCTCACACATCATGATGTGAGTATTTCACTCCAGCTCGAGAGAGGAAAAAGCCAATTCAACCACTGACTACACAGCAGGGATATTCTGGCTACTCTCCCTCTGCTCCAGAAGTGGAATGAATGTTTAATACCCACAGAACAAACAACAATCTCATCTTCTTCCTCAAGCAAAACAAGCCCAAGTTGATTCTATATCAGATTGTCACCTGAAAAGTCAGCTTTGACTCCTGAAGTACAGTGGTATTCAGGAAAAGGATTCCTATAAACCCTTCCAAACCACAGCGATGTTTCTTAGAGGAAGTCTAACTTTAAAGAAGCAGTTACGCTTCAAGCCCTTCAGTACTACAACCAATCTGTACAGCCACCAGCACGACTCTGAGGCTTCAGGCACAGAGTATTAACAGATCCTGAGCAGGGTACCAGATGTTGACCAGGGAAGAATACAAACAAGGAGGAGGGGATGTCAAACCTACCACCTGCCAGGCCTCAGTAAAAGGCATGTTCATAGGAGGACCAACAGGCAGTGGTGGATCTCGTGCCACATTAAGTTCTCATTTTTAAACCTGTAGCTCATAAACTGTTCAGCAAGTGCCTCAAACTGGAGACACTTTTACTAGCAACCAGAGTTTACGCCCATTTCCAAGACCGAGCAGCCAACAGCAGAATCCCAGACTGGTTTGGGCTGGAAGGGACCTTAAAGCTCATCTGGTTCCAACCACCTGCCACAAGCAAGGACCATTAAGATGCTGACGGAGACTCCAGGAGACTTATTATCAGAGCATGTTCAGACAGCCCTGAGTCACAGAACAGGCGCAGCCACAGAGGGTCACATCTTGGGATCAAGATGCTTTTCAGCCATGTGCCCATTCACAGAAATAATGGAGGGAGGTGCAAGGGCAGCAGAAAAGTGAGCGGCTGAAGCAGGCTGCCAAACGCATTCTGCCAAACGCATTCTGCCAGCTACAAGTCCCTTCCCGCTCCACCTTGAAGCATTTATGCAGAAGGGACTCCAGGGAACAAGCTGAAAGGCACCTGACATTTCCAAGAGCCTGCATTTGGGGTGTAGGCCAGAGCAGGCCATCCTCAAGTGACCAACTTCCGAAGTACAATCCAGGTTCAACTGACACCCAAAAGGTGCTCCTGCTGTTTGGAGAGGAAAGTCAAGTCCAACAGGACGAAACTGTTGCCCAGACAAGTCTTTCAGCGATAACCTATTGTTACACTGAGAAGGAAATACAAGTTGTCACAGCTCTCACCTTCTCCTCATGCGAGGGGGGGACCGGCGCCACATTGGTGGTGGCGGCAGCATCCTCCTGGGTGGGCTGAAGCGCCTGGGAGGTGGCCTGGGTCGTGGTGCTAGCACGGCTGTGGCAGTGATCTCCTGACCATCAATCTGGCCTTTTTAGGGAACCACAGGAAGAAGTAAGTATTTTCCAACACTAATGTCTACACATCACATTACTGCAACTCACAGCTTTGTCACCAGCAGCTGAATCGTGAATCAGCCAACAGTGCCATTCCCACCACCCACTCGGGGACTGTTCTGACAAAGTCCACGTACATGCTAGACTTCATAAGCTGACATCCTATCACACTGCAGTTCAGATGTTAATTGGGAAAGGTTTTCACAGAAAATTAAAGAAATTTATTACTGTTCTGGAAAAAAACAAACAAAAAACCAAACATACCAAACAAAACAAAACACACCACCACAAAAACCCAACCCCAACCCTCAAGTTTTAGTAGCTCTGTTATGTTTTGGATCTATCCTGAAGCACACAAAAGCCAAACACCTTTGGGCCGAGATCAGTTCCCCAAAGAGTCCCAAATCCCTATCATCTCTAACTCATCTTCAGATCAAACTCATCTGCTGCGAAGACTTTTAAAAGCACCCAGCCTCCTTGCAGCATTTGATACCTACCTCCATCCATGTGTTTCAGGGCTTTCTCAGCATCATCTGGGTTCTCAAACTCCACATAAGCATAACCTTTAGACAGGTGTGGATTTAGCCTATCAACTGGCATGTCAATCATTTTAATCTTTCCATAAGTGGAAAAAATTTCCATGATGTGATCCTGCAGAGAAAGAGGAACTCTTAAGGACACAGACCACACTTACTGACCAGATGTGGCTCATGCACAGCAGTAAATCCATAGCACTAGATTAGCTTTGGATGAATCCCACCATGAGGAAGACAAACTTCATTGGCCAGATGTGGGAGGATTACCACTGCTTTTTCTGCTGATGTTCAGCTCCTCCTCAGACTGTTCCAAACCTTAAGCTCCAGCAGCATTACTGCTGCGTGTCAACATTGGCTACAAAAATACAATTAGTGTAAAAATCTTCTTGGGGACCTGTAAATGGAGCTTATGCCCCCAGCTGAAAATTCTTAAGGTGCAACTGTAATAGTTCTTAAAACGCATCTTTTTTTCAGCACCAAAGCCCTTTACCTCTGAAGACCGTTGAGCTACATTCTAACAAAGACAACTCAAACCAGGCCAGCTTTCTTCAGATCCTTTATCAAGAATCTCTATACATCATTAATGCCTCCGAGGTTATTTCAGCAGTAAGTTCTACAGCTTTCTTCCTAGGAAGGTAGGATACAGGGCCTGAAACACTAACAAAGCAGACAGACCTCTCCAGCACTACAGCTGCAAAAGCCTGCACTGTATTTGACTAAGATCCTACCAAAAATTTCCTCACTGATCATTTGGACAAAAAGCAAGAATTTCTAAAAGCAACACCTTAGCAGCAACAAAGTCTTGAGAGCTTCAAAAGAGCCACTCACATGTCCTCACAAATGATATATGAGCCTGCCATGACAGGGAGCATGGCATTACCTTGGTCACATTTCTAGTGAGCCTTCCAACATGCACTTTTGTAGGTCTGGGTGATGGGCTCCGCCTCTTTCGCTCCTTTTCATCTCTTTTGGGTGGCTTGGACCTGATTTTGACAGCAGAAAATACTTACAATTTTCAGGGAACAAGCAAGACCAAACCAAGAGGCTGGTCATTAACACATGATTAAGAAGTACCACCTCTCCTGGGAAGGCATCTTTATTCTTAAGAAGTTAAGAAAGTTAGGGTTAGGAAGTGCTGGGGTTGTGCTGAGAGCATTTCACTTGGAAACTCTCAAGACCTGCATTTGTCCTGTCTGCTTCTGCTTTAGAACCTTCTGGAATTTGAGAGCCTTTTTTTGTGAGTTTTCAATTTTACTGCAAGAAGGATAACAAACATGAAGTTTAGCGAACTTTTCTATAAAGTTGTTGGCCATAGTTTAAGAATTTTCCAGTTGTTCAGACAAAAAGCATTCTTTGCCTCAACAATTAGAGAGGCAAAATGAGGACATAAGCACCAAAGCATACCACAACCAGGCAGTTAATGGATCCAATGATTTGTGTCTCTGTACCTGCAGTTCACTACAGAGATCCAAACATGCCACAGTTAAGTAGCTGCGTATCATGTCTTCGACAGTGTAAAAACTGCAAAAGTCTGGAATGTAACTTTAATTCAGTAAAAAAAAAAAATCAGGATGCAGAAAATATGGATTTATGCTTCTTTCTAATCTTACTCTCCATAAATGGAGTGATATAAAAAACCAAAACCAAAATCCCAACCAAAACCCCCACACTGGCTTATAATATTTCAGTAGATTTTATCAGCCTTCAGTACCCTACCTACAGAATTGCCCAGAAGAAAAACTATATGAACATTAGCAGAGCTTGATTTCAATCCTTAGAGGAAAATGCATCCCTTGCTCCCATCCCCTCGCCTTTCCATTTTTTTTTTATACATAAGAACACACACCATTTTCAACCCTGATGTTTCTGTTAAGTCTTGGCTGTAACTTACAGGAAATAAAGAGCTTTACTCTTATCCAGTGCCTGTTCAGAGTCATACTATTGGGTAAACATTGATTAAAAGTGCCTCTACAAAGTTTAAGATTACTCATCTTAAAATGAGTGATTCTAACCTCTTTCCCTACAGAGAGTATGTTTCTATCATAAGCAAAAGGAGCACACCCATCCTAACAAAATTCAGATCTCTAGCTTGCGAAGAAAGCAACCGGTCTTCAGAAAACAATCTGTTCTGACCACAAGCCTGCAATCTATGTGAAAGAACCTGCCACCTGGTAATTCCGAAAAAGCAAATAAAATTTACTTGGAGCGGGAGCGCCTCCTGTTGTCATGTCTCCGTCGAGATGGACTTGGAGATCCCGAGGAGCTGCTGGAACTGGAACTGCGTGAGGTGCTGGAGCTCCCAGAGCGGCTTGAAGCAGAAGAGGAGCTGGAGCCACTGCTTGAACCAGTGCTGGAACTGGACCCAGAACTGGAAGTTGAGCTGGAACGGGATCTGGAGCATGGGGTGGATTAAAGATGAGTGGAATACCCAGAAAAAGAGTGGCTGAAAAACTTCAGATAATTCCAGAGAGAGAAGCTGTGAGCTGGAACAATGCAAACTGCTGCTGCACAGCTCACTAGACAGCCAAAGGAAACTCACACCTAAACCATCCCAACCCCTTCAGTTAGACGCACCTGCACCATGCCTAACACGGCACCAGCCTTCAACAGAAACATACTGGAAATCAAACTGGTGGTTTCTGAAAACACCGTAATTTCTTACTGCCTGGAGGAGTAACTACCTAGTGCTGCTGCTCCCACTAGAAGCACTGCGTCTCTTGCGTGTCTTGTCTCGACCACGATCCTTTTCACCCGATTCCTTAGTGGCTGCTTTGTCCTTGGACCGGTCCTTTGATTTCTCTTCAGACCTATCCTTGCGTTTGGTTGGTGAAGGAGCCCTTCAAGAACAAATTGCAGAAGACATTTACAATATAGAGAAACACAAACAACAAAATACCCCATGCCCGAAGAACAGAACAGCAACACAAAACATTGAACTTCAATTCTAACTCAAGGTCACTGTAACTGCAGAGTTAATGCATCAGACAAGTTTGGACTTCTCAGAAAAAGGAAAATACTTTACATTGCAGAGCAGCTTTGAGGAAGACAGCTATAGCACACAGAAATTCTCAAATACAGAAACTCACACAGGAAGAGGGGCATTTCCAATTCCTCACCCTCACTGGGACAGCCCTGGCACCCTGTAACACCCCCAGGTTCATTACACCTAGAAAATTCGGACAGAATTATTACCTAGTGTTGGATTTTTTATTATTTTCTTTGAGTCCTAGCAAACTCTTCTTTTTCAATCCTGATAACTCCATTTTCCCTTCGGAGGTGTCCAAAGCAGCACCGAATGGGCCTCACTTATCTCAAATCTCACTTCTAACTCCTTGATTCTGAGAACCGATCCCTAATCGAGTGCAATAAACTCCAAAGAACAGCCTAGTGACAAGATAAAAGGGTTTAGAAACAAGAAATTAACAGATAGGTACAAACCAACAAACCTACTTTGCAACAACAGCAGCACACTGGGCATCAACTGACTCTCGCAGTGTACTTCAGTCACACTGTCACACCACTGTTGACAGGCGGGCTCTGTGCCCCTTGCATGGCATCCTGTGCTTAGTGTAGCAGTCTCCACCTCATATGACATTCACAGAGGTACAAAGAACCTTAATTATCCAAAGAACGGCAGACAGAGAACAGCCATTTTCTTGGCAAGATGCACATGCAGCTCATGCATCTTTGTAACAGCCTTGTCTCCAGAGAAGTAAACACTGGTTTTCTCCAAAGACAATTTGTGCCGTACATCATATGCTTGTCAGGAAGAAAGGGTTGTTCAGAACAACCCCCCCACTGGATTATGTCTGCTTTCAGTGTCAACTTGCTGCTCCCAAAGCTCTGTCAGCCCTGGAAAGAGTAGGTTAAAGGGCCCAGTTTGCTGTACTGCTGCAATAGCAGATCCCACTTTAACTTCTTAGCAGAAAGGCTGACCTGGATGCTGGCCTATCTACCCCAAATCAGTTCCCTCTTTAGCTCCAAAAGGAGACAAACTTAACACCCCACTATTTAACACTGAAATACTGAGCGTTAGTTGAATATTTCTCATTAGAAGGCTGCATCCACCACATATTCTGCAATATCTAAACAGGCTGTTGCATTTTGACCATTCCACATGGATTGTTTAACACTGGATTACATGGCTGCCTCCAACCTGTGTTAATAAACACATAATGAGGGTAGCAGATTTGATCTGCTGTGACACCCTTTAGCTACTACGAATGGAACATGCAGGAAACGGAAGAGCAGGCACAAGCATGTCTGAACTGCCAGGCCCATCTGAAGTGGCACTGAATATTCACAATACTGCAAGATGTTGGAAACATCTGTACCTCCACATGCATCACAGGCAAAATTAATTAACAAGAAAAAAAAACCAAAACAACCCTCTCCAGTCCACTGCATCCAACAGTCTTGTTGCTTCTACACTTCTGGTGTCAGGTTCTGGGAAGCAATTACTTCATTCTCTAAACTACAATCAAATTCATGTTTGTTCATTCCTCAACAGCTGAACTCACTTTCCTGATTTTCAGCTTCACAGCTTTCCATAACACAACAACTCCAAAAAGCAATACAAATATTCACAAATCTAGCTCCCCACAAATCCAGAAGCCAAGAAAAACCCATGCCTTTTTGCATGAAGAACAGAAAACCCACAACACAAATGTGACACCACAAGGCCTGCTGGGAGAGGAAAGGTCTTCCCTAACACCAGTGGTGATAAGAAGGCAGTCCACAGACTGCTCTGTATGTGTTGTACAGGTGACTAAAAAAGCAAACCTGTGTACATCATTCAGCTTCACAACATCTCTAACCAGCTCGATGCCTCTACACTGAAGTTAAAAACTGAAAGCCACTGCATGAGACTCACCGACTTCCTTGGAAGAACAGACCAGACATGTTTCTGGACTCATAAGACCAAAAAACCTGATCGCTTCCTTTCTCTTTCTAAATATATCATAGCCAGGTTTGTGTTATATCTTCCTCCACACCAACTTACCTTGCACCTGTGGATATCACAGGGCTGATTACTATCAGCTCAGCCATGCAAAACTATCTCATATTACCTGATAGCTAGCTTGTTTCAGCCCTAATGGGAGGGGGAGAGAGGGCCCAAGGGAAGACCAGCACATGCTTTGCTACTGCAGCAGTAGGAAATACTTCAGTTAAACAGCTACAGCTCTGGTGCCACTCCTCAGATCAGATGAATTAGCCAAATAATGTCTGCATGGTCAGCAAATCTCCATATGGTGGTACTTTCAGCATTTAATCCACCTCCAAACTAAACAGCATTTCTCTCCATCAAAATATATGTACCTATGTCAAGAATGCCATTTGCCAGCTTACTTCACCTGCAAACCTGAGCCCAAGAGACACAGCCTGTGAGACTGTCACCTGCACGTGTTCAGACTTCACGGAATGATAGGGAAAGCACAAAACTATGGTCTTCACACGGAGGTGTATAACAAACTCATTTCTAAGCTACACGCTGCCTTCTTACAATCCAAAATCCTCTCCATCCATAGCCAGTCAATGTTCTTGCAGCACTCACCCCAAACAAGTCTAAGAGCAATCTCACAGGCCAAACATTCATTTCATACACACACACCTCTCTGCTTTAAAAAGCTGATTTGCACTCTTAAGAGAGCTGCAATTCTGTGGCAAAGGAAGCAAACTCAGCTCTCCCAGGACTTCCTGCCTGACTACAGACAAGCCCTTTAATGGCATTCTGCTTCAGGTCCTCATTTGCAAAACAGGGTAAAGATTTCCTCATGTGACGGGAGGGTTCAATGCTCAGCAGTTCTTTGCAAAGTTACGGCCGACCCGCACAAACTAACTACAGCGCGCAGGGCCGCAGGAGCGCAGGGCAGCCAGCTCCACGTCCCGGTTCGCACGCCATGGGGTACGTTACGGCGCCAGGCGGACCAAGGGCTTGTCGCTGCTGACCGCACCGTACGTGTTGCCATACTACGAGCGAAGCCAAAGCGCGGGCTGAGGAACAGGGAGAGAAAAAGCACAGACCAAGCACACAGTCGGTTCAGAAAAAATCCCGCACCCCGGGACCCGCGCCGCCCGCCCCCGGCTCCGCACAGCGCTCCTCCAGCCGCCCCCTTGCTGGGCCCGGCTCCCATCCAGGCCCCGCCCCCCTCCCGCCTCCCCCCGCGTCCTCCCTTCCCGCCCCCGGGAGCGGTAGGCCGCAGCGCTGAGGCGCCATCGCTGATCCTGGACACGCTATCTCCTCCTCGGCAGCTCCGGCGCGCTACCCTCAGCATCCCCGCGCAGCGACGGGTCCGCTCCGCGCCGCGGCCGAGCTGGATGGACGCCGATGGGCCCTAGCCCCTGCCCCAACCCCACTCACATCCTCGGCGCCCGCCACAACCGCCAATACGAGATCGTCACACGCAATCAACGCACCGCGCACGAAAAGGGGCGCGGCGCACGCTGATATCGTCACGCACCGGGGTAGGGAGCAGGGCGGGCTTAAAGGGACAGTGCCGGAGCGGTGGGGGAATGGTGATGGTGGCAGCGGTCAACCAGCAGTCTTTGGGAGTAGGAGTGGAAGGAGACGGAAAAGGCCCGTGCGTTCCTGCAGGGAGACCTCAGTTGCTCATCAAGGATCTCCAGAGCTGACGGGCTGTGGTCATGTCCAAGGACACTGGCTGGCAGGACAAGGTCTGCCCTGGAGAAGTCACTCACATCCACTGGAGCACCCAGTGTTCCCCCGGCTGGAGGTGCCTAGCTCAGTGTGTCCAGCCCCATTCACGCAGGGATCTTTGACCTGCCAAGCCCCACGGAATCACAGAACTATGAAATGGTTTAGCTTGGGAAGGACCCTAATCCAGTCCCAACCCCCTGCCACAGGCAGGGACACCTTCCACTAGACCAGGTTGCTCCAAGCCCCGTCCAACCTGTCCTTGAACACTGCCAGGGATGGGGCAGCCACAGCTTCTCTGGGCAACCTGTGCCAGCACCTCACCACCTGCACAGGGAAGAGCTTCTCCCTAATGTCTAGTCTACATCTCCCCTCAAGTCGTTGTCATCATTGTCACCATCATCATAATCATCATAGCAGTCAGGGCTTCAACTCTTGACTCTTCCTAAGTTCAGCAAACTGTTGGCCTTCCCTGGTAGGTGGATGCTGTGCCCAGTGTCATGTCCAGGTTGCAGATTCAAATCTCAGTTGAGTCAATCTCAGCTCAAATCTGTAACTGGAGGTGGTGGCAGTCATGTCCCCTCAGGAGACCCGGAGCAGAAAGGGACAGCACCCTCAAGAGGGAACTCACCTGCTGCCTGGCCTGCACAAGTGCAAGAAGAATGTGAAGAGACAAGCGAAAGACTTAACATGGAGCACCATCCAGTGGTATTCTATAAATCCAAAGATTTATATGGGATTTTCTCTTTTCCTGTCCCCCCTACCTCTTCTCCCCTTTCCCCACCAAAATGTGTGCTGTTTACAGGGAAATTTGCCACTGGAGGTAGTGGTCTTCTGACCCATCACGCTGCGTTCCAGCTGTACTGGCTGCCTTACTTTTTCTGACTTCAAAGGAACAAAGCCAGGAGTGTGCTTTGACCCCATTCCTAATGCAGGGCCCTAAACATGACAAACCCTTCTGAGGAGCAGGTGTGCTTGTCAGCTGTGAAGAGAAGACAGGTCCGCCTCCTGAATACAGAGTAGGAACATGGCCTGTGTAACTCCATCACAGAATGTGAGTGAGAATAGGTCTGGTGTCTGTAAGATCTTGTGTGGAAAGGAGAATTGATTTCTGCTGCAAGAGCAAGGAGGTATTACACCTGCCGTGGGCAGGCTCAGAAAAACACAAAAGGAGGTTGTTCTTCACATAACCATTTGGTAAAGGGCAGGTTTTCCTGCCATAGGATGTGGTAGCCTACTAAAAGTTTTTATGGGTTCAACGAGAAACTGCGCTATGTCTATTGAAGACTATCAGCAGACTGTCACAATGGCCTTAGAATCATAAAATAGTTTAGGTTCGGAAAGGCTTTTAAGTCCACGACTCAACCATGGCCCCAAGCACCACATCTACACATCCTTTAACACCTACAGGGATGGTGACTCCACCACTGCCCTGGGCAGCCTGTTCCAATGCCTGGCAATCCTTTTGGGGAAGAAATTGTTCCTAATATCCAGTCTAAACTTCCCCTGGCGCAGCTTGAGGCTGTTTCTCTTCTCCTACCCTTTGTTACTTGGGAAAAGAGACCAGCCACCTCCTGGCTCCGTCTTCCTTTCAGGTAGTTGTAAAGAGTGATAAGGTCCCCCCTGAGCCTTTTCTTCTCCAGACTAACCCCCCCAGTTCCTTCAGGTGTTCCTCATCATACTTGTGCTCCAGGCCTCTTCTGTAGTACATTCTAGCTGCTAATCTGAAAACACTTTATGGAAGATGGCAAGTGCCACCACTTGGATTCAGTAAATGGCAATATGGGCTTGTCGTGGTTTAAACCCAGTCAGGTAACTTGTTCACTCACTCCCAGTGAGTGATGCCGAGCTGACAACAATCGAGGTCCGTCGTCGTCCCCCCCCCCCCCCCCCCTGCACCGGGGCTCTCCCCTTCCCCACTCCCGGAGGAACGGGGAGGAGGATCGAAAGAGTACAACTCCTACGGGTTGAGACAAGAACAGTCCAGCAACCAATGTACAACACAAATCACCACCGCTACTATCAACTACAACAATGATAAGGGAAAATAACAAGGGAAGAGAATACGATACCACCGGCCAAGAAAACGAGTTCCACCCGGAAGCCCGTGTCCTTCCGGGTCACTCCCAGTTACACCTCACCCCGGGCATGACGTGCTGTGGTATGGAATACCTCCCTGGCTAGCCCGGGTCAGGCGCCCCATCTTTGCTTCCTCACAGCTTCCCCTCTTCCCTGGCAGAGCATGAGCCTCACAAAGTCCTTGGTCAGGGTAAACATCACTTAGCAACAACTGAAAACATCGGCTTCACCAACACTGTTCTCAGGCTGGAAGTCAAAACACAGCACTGCACCAGCTACCACAAAGGAAAAAACATGACTGCTACTGCTGAACCCAGGACAGGGCTAAAGATTAGGCCTCACAAAGACAAGGCAGATGTTTCAGCCTGCCTTACCCACAGGACCTGTGGCTTTCAGCAGGTTGTACTGTTTAGTGACAGCCTTTTAGTGCTCAGTTGCAATCTAACCTGCGGCAGAGAAAAGGACTCACAGGAGAGACTGTGCTTCCTTGGGCTGGGATGATGGACACCAGGCTTGGGCCCACTTACTCTGCTGACTGCTGTTATCCTTAGAGCATGATATTTAAATTTTTCTCCTCTTTCATCTGTAGCAAAGCCATACTGGCTGGCTGGTTCCAAGGCCATGCACACCCTTATTCTCACATAATGGCTCTCATCTCTCCAAGGGTGGTCAGGTGAATTCACTGAACCAACAGAAAAATAATGCTACTGTGGAAAAAAAAAAAGAAGTATATTTTGTAATATTTGTCTCCCTGAAGCAGCTCCCCATAGAGCTGTAAGCAGCAGGACCATCCCCAGGACAGTGGTGGCAGGGTGCCAGGGGTCTGACCTCCTCTCAGTAGCTGCTGAACAGTCAGCAGGACTAAGCCTTAATGCCAAGCCTGAGCAAAAAGAGATATTTGAACATCTCATCTAGGAGAACAGGTCAGACACAGCATGTGTCCAGTGAACAGCACCACCGTGGCCTTCTGGAGATCTTCTGTAGATGCCAGCAGCTCAGCCCATGGTCGCTACTGCAGTCCTGTGCAAGGTCTGGATGGGACCTCTTGGGACAGCATTGCTGCCTCCTGCAGGGCTTATCCTCCATCATCTGACACAGGGCTGGTGGGAGATGGGATGGATGGCAGGTCAGCACTCTGAGCATGCAAAGGTGATGTCACTCCTCGTGGTCCTGAAGCAATGCTGCCCTGAAAGAGTTAAGAGAGGGGTCCTCCCTCCCGGTATATAAGTCTCCTCTTGGGTGACCTTCCCGGCAGCCTTTGCTGGCTCTGCCTCAACAAAACAAAGAGGGTAGTAGCTTTTCAAACAGCAGCCCCCCAAAAAATTGGCTGCTGAAGAGCTGTGCTGTGTTGGGACCTTGGGCTGGGCTGGCCACAGCTGCGGGAGCATGCAGCTGTGGCAGCAAGTTGGTGCCATCTCCTAGGAGGATCCTGGTACTCCCCTTTTGTCCCTGTAGGTGGATTTCTGCCTGATTTCTTCTGTGCATTCAGCTGGTTTGGGTGCTGGGAGAGTGATGGGGAAAGATGAAGAGAAACTTCTGGCAGTGGTAGTTCAAAGGGGTGTGAGCAGCAGAGGGGGGTGGCCAGAGGCCAGTGTCTTTGGGGTTCTGTGGCCTTTGGCAGAGCACTGCTGGGTGGAGGTGACCACTGCTGCCGAGCATGCAGACTGGTGATGTGCTTGAGTAGGGATGCAGAGATCTGGCTCCTGGAGGTTCAGTGGATGCCAAGGTTCAGTGTCAGGGTGGGAGTGGTGTGTCCCATCTGAAATGCTGTCCCCAGCTGCTTCTTGAACCCAGCAGCCTGCTCAGCAATTTTTCAGCAGAGGTGCACACCCTCTTTAGAAACTGCCCCTGTGTCAGTAGACTGCTGGGTGGTGAATTTAAGGCAGCAGACAACCACAAAGCTGCTCCAGCCAAGACATTGTAGATGAGCAGGAGAGGAAGGAAGAGAGCACCATGAGTGCTGTTGGGTCTTGCCTCTGTATTTTTCTATCCCTTCCCTCCTGCACTTCAAGGCTGTTTATGAGAACAGTGCTATTTACTGCCACTGCTGCAGATGAACTGCTCCGCTTGTGGTGGCAGATGGTGGTTAGGACTAATTAGTCACTGTGTCTGCATACCACCTGAGGCTCAATGTGCTTGTCCTATGTTTTGCACTGTCTTGCAACTGGGTGCTCTGTTTCTCCTTCCCATTCACTGGCTCTGTGTTTGGAGCCACTGTGGCATGGTGGAGTGGCTGCAGAGAGCTCTCCTTGACCCCCAGGAGGTCCAGGCAATTGGTGGGTTATTCTGCCAACAGCAGCACTAAACTGCTGGTAGTCATTTTTCATGGTGAGGTGCAAGGTGCCCTGCACCAGGCATTGCTTTATGCTTGTAAGGGTTGAACTGCAGCACTGTCTCAGCCCACAGCATCTTAATGCTGGTGTTTTCCCTGTGCTGTAAGAGCTTGGGTCATCTCCCTGTTCAGTCTGTCACTCCCTCTGCAGCCGTATGAGAGTGGGGTTAGGTGTGTGTCTGCCTTTCAAGAATATAGTCTGTGTGGCTTTGTTAGAGGAGTTACAGGATGTGGGATTTATCTTCTGAAGGCTTGGAAATATTTCATCCTAATGTGTAGTTAACAGCCTTGGGTATCTCTGCAGAGTTGAGATGAGCCTGAATTTCCAATGACTGCACTGTTGAGTACCTGTATAGGTTTGGAACAGCAGAAAAAATAGATTTCTGGGTTTTCTCTGTT